CCCCTCGGCTGCTCAGCGTTCACCCAACAGCACCGTTAAGGTTTCTCCGAACTCCAACAAAAACAGCGTATCCGACCAATCACGTCTTTAACAAACCCCTCCCACAAAAGTCAAACAGACCAATCATGTGTTTTCCAAACTCCGCCCACACACCAAGAACCTCCCCCTCCTCTCTTAACACCCAAAAATGTGTAATTCCACGAGAAAATTGGCGTATTCTGCTGTAACTTTGTCTCCAACTGGTCACCAACAGCCAGAGGCGTAAAGAGAGATGTGAAGTTTCAGAGTTGTGTACTTGGACAAATATTTTTTTACGTACCTCCATTCTGAGAGGCTGTAGTGGATCTGTGGTCTGTGCCGCAGTCTCGTCAGGCTGTGGGTTTAAAATCAACATTTCTCTTTCAATGAAAATGCAGGAGCTAAAATATGATGAAGAAGCTGAAACTGAGTTGCTAAAGCCAAAAGATTCACAACAACAGCTTAAAGTACCTAAAGCTAGAAGCCAAAAGACAGGGAAAAATGTAACAAAAAGGCTAGCTAACAGTATAAAAAAGGCTAAAAGCTAAAAAACCATAAGAAGCAAAGCACTAGCTTAGAGTCAAAAGTAGCACAAAGGTCACAAACAAAAGGTATCAAAAGGCATGATAAATAGCTAAAACAGAAAAAGCTAGCTAAAAGACAAAAGTGTCAAAAAATACCTAATTCAAAAGAAAAAGCCTGCTGAAAACATCCCCACATCCAACACTTAAAGCTAAAAGTAGCAAAACAAAAATACAAAAGCAACAAAAAGTTGAAGCAAATAATAAAAAATAAACAAAGACTAGCTAAAACTAGCCAAACCCTGTAAAAGTAGCAAAAAATGACCACTTAAAGCTAAATTTAGCAAAAGGCTAGCATAAATTTTTAAAAGGCCAACTAAAAGCCGAAAGAAACAAAACACTAGTTTAAACCAAAAAGTAGTACAAAGGTCACAAAGGAAAACATGTCACATGACTTGCTAAACAGCTGAAAAAACAAAAAGCTAGCTAAAATACAAWAGTGTCAAACTAAAATTTAAAAGAAAATCTGTTAAAAACACCCAAACACTAGTTTAAAGCTAAAAGTTGCAAAATGCAAACAAAAATACAAAAGTAGCAAAAAAAAAGCCAGCAAAAAGTTAAAGCTGACAAGAAATAACAAAAAGTAACCAAAGACTAGTTAAAACAGCTAAACTCTTGCTAAAAGTAGCAAGAAGGCAAACTAAAAGCTAAATGTAGCAAAAGGCTAGCTCAAAGTATTAAAAGACCAACTAAAAACAAAGATTAATAAAAATCAACAGCAATAAAACACTGGTTTAAAGTAGTATTAGTAGTGTTAGTTACAGCTAACCAAAGAGCTAGCTTCACTAATGCTAAGCAGAAAAAATGTATAAAAATTAGCAGAAGCTAACACAGCTAATGGCTAACTGCTAAGATGACTGTCACTCAGTCTGCATCACACATCTTCATTTCCTTCAAGCTGAACACGACTGACAAAAATCTGTTGTTAGCTTCTTGGTTAGCTGTTAGCTGATTTAATGGGCAAAACCTAAATTAGCTAACACTAAGAGCTAACTGCTAACTGCTGAGACGACTGTCTCAGTCAACGTCACACATCTTCATCTCTGCGGAGCTGAAGATCGCCAGATGTTAGCTTGTTAGTTCGTTTTTAAGACTTAAAGTTGACAAAATTTAATTTAGCGGAAACTAATTGCTCTGCGGTTTTCAAAGTTAGTGGGAGAGAAGCTAATCCGCTAAACAAAAACTGTTTCGTTGTTCGGTGTTAGCCGACCAGCGGAACCATCCCAACCACTGGATTAAAGAAAGCTGCTACAGATACTTAAAGTGTCGCAAAACACAAAAACAGATCAGCCAAACTGACAAACACTGAGCTAAATCTGGACATGGTTGTAGCTGAGAGTGATCCCTAACGTGAGACTCTGCTCATCGTTTTCTGTACGATCACATGACATCAGTTTAACTCTGACGTGAGGACGGTGAGCAGTCCTTCAGTTTTGGACGTGGCTGCAGTGGGGTCGTKGTGATAAATGTGTTTTTCTGATGCACATTCTTGGTGGTGCTCTTTGTGTGTGAACGTTTGCACTCTTGTGCACATCTGCTGCTGCGAGAGGCCGAACACCAGGCAGGAAGGGTGTGTTTGTTGAGTGGTTTCCTCTCTGGTAGCTCGACTGATCCGAACGGGCCAGGGGTGTGAAGGGTGTGTTCTTGTTGGGTTTTTGCGGTGGCAGTTGTACCTGGCAACACTTTTGCCTGTCTGGATAAAAAAAAAAATACACAATTAGCGTGATGTTATGAAAAAGAAAGAAAAACGTGCACAGCCCTGGTGGTTGTTAGCCGTTGAGCCGGTTGCCTTCCTGCGGCTCGGGGCCTGAGAACCTCAGTGTGATTGCAACTTGTCCATGTGACCTGGTTTCCGTTTGCCTGCCTGCTTCCGCACACAGTTAGGGGGGGGGGGGGGGGYATTAAAGTGCTTCAGTCAGAGCAGAGCTGAGCGATGCAGATGAGTGTCACATGCACAACAGGAGTTCCTGCAACTGTAAGTCACCCAGCGATATGGTCAGGGGATCAACCGTCGGTGGCTTGGGAGATCCACATCTAACCACCAGTGTGAGTAGACCAACCAGCGCTGATCGGCTGCTGCAGAGCGCTCTGAGGCACAGCTAAAACCAGCTAAAACCAGCTAAAATCACTTTAAAGGACTTACATCTTTAGCTTTTGGAGCATTTAGCCACGGCCTGCCTTAAAGCACGCCTCAACAACCTTATAAAGGACTAATAAACTGTTAATAATGCAGTTATTAACCAGGAGGTCCTCAAAGACTTAGCTTGGGTCCGGACCATCTGGACCTGAATGAAGTCTTRTATGGACACACACTGGTTTTCATGTTTCATATTTAATTTAGACAAAGTGTATGTATTTGACGAACACATTTTCCCGTATTTTTGTCATTTTTATTTAATTTTTTTTTTTTTTGTGGCTCGGCTTTTCTAACATTTATGGTCGTTTATTTTAGCAGATTTTCAAACATGTTATTTTGCATGGCTCAGCTTTTCTTCAAAGTACAGTATTTTATTTTAAATTGCACCGCTTTTCTAGTATTTATGGTAATTTGTTTCTTTGGGGGGGGGGCTCAGCTTTTGTAGCCTTTATGGTAATTTATTATAGGCAGTGCAGCTTTTCTTGCATTTATTTCTTTTTAGGAAACGCAGCTCTTACAATAAATAATTTCCTGTGGCTCAGCTTCTCTACAAAATACAGTAATTTATTTTCGGTAATGCAGCAATTGTTTAGCATTTACGTTAATTTATTTTAGGCCTAGCTGCTTTTCCCGCAGCTTTTCTAGAATTTATGATGAATAATATGATAATTATTTAGGGGGACCTCAGGGAATTTTAATTTATTACCACCTAATAAATAATACTTAGACAGTTAAGAGGAAAAAGGACGAGACTCTTCAGCGGGGGTTCAAACTCTTTGTTACTGAGGGCCACATGAGCGTTATGATTGTCTGCAAAGGACCAGTTAATTAACTTTGACATTTTGTGTTTAACTTCAACTAAAAGGAAACGTCATGTTCCTGGTTTCATTGCTACAACTGAGCACAGCTAACAAACACTAACTGAGCTCTACCTGGTTATTTCCTGCATAGAAACAGTGTTTTAACACCTCCCCTTGTAAACACTGAAAAGTACCACGTTGCACGACTGACTAAATGTGAAGTAAGTAAAACAGAAATACTAGTAAAAGTAAAAGGAAAACTCACTGTTGAACAGCTGCCACCTTGAATTCTGAAATCTCCCACTTTCCAACAGGGAGTTCCCATGTTTGATCAACATGTATTATGGGAGATGTACAGAAGTTTATGATCAATGCTGGCTTTAAAAAACAATATATTAATATAAACATTAATTACATTAATTAATATACACTCACCGGCCACTTTATTAGGTACACCTGTC